CCCCAAAACCCCAAAACCCCAAAACCCCAAAACCCCTAAGGATTTTTGTTTGGCTGAAACTGATAAAATTATATTTATTGAGAGCTCTCACAGAGAATCTTGCTTTCATATGGAAGCACAGACTCCATGGCTTGATTCACTTGAAGATAAAATCCATCTGAAGCACTATAATGTTTATTGAGTTCTAGCCACTTACTTTTTCTTTAATGTCGCTGGGTTATCTTGTAGGATATTTGAAAAAGAATACTGTGCCTGAAGTATATTATTGTCTAGGCCAGTTTCTTTGGGTCGGTTGTTCTGTCTAGTGTTACTAGCCCCTTTTCTACCTCCTTTTTGATTTTTCTTTACACCTAAGCTGAAATCTGACTTGAAAGTCATTGTAAAATCCATAGACTTGTTGTTATCCTTGGTTGTATTGCTTGCTTTCATGTATTTATTTAAGTACATGTAGGTTCATAAGCTTGTTGTTAGCGTTAATAAGATCCATTCTTGCTCATGCATTCATATAATTAAGATGCTCTAAGGCATCAATGTCCTCTTTGGACTTATCTTTAGTTTCCTCTTTCTCTGGCTTGGCACTATTTGGCACCGAATTATTGATCCTCATAGACTGGCTATCTGTCTTATTCCTGAGATTATTAGCTTGCATTCCGAGCTTCTTCTTCGATCCAGTGTTCTTCTTACTAAGCAAGGAATAATATTCAAACTTTTTGTTAGCTTCTCTTGTATTTCTCTTCATTTCATTGTTCCGACTTGAGTCATGATATTGCTTAGAGTTTTGTCTGGATACTGACTTCTGCTTGGCTTCGTTGGTGTCAAATTCAGAGTTATTGAAAGCTCTCCTACCTCTCTTTTTCGACTCTGCTCTAGCTCTGTGAAGTGAAGGGTTTCGAATGTTCTTTTTAGAAGCAGCTGCTGACGATAAAACTCTCTGGCTTGGCTTATTGGGAATTTTGGTCCTAGATCTTTTCTTCTTCATTTTGTTGTTAAGACCTGAGAATAGCACTTGATGTTTCGATTCTCGTTCCTTGCTGAAATTTTTGACGTTTTCTTTGAACATCGAGTTAATTACTGATTGCTCATTGTCTAAATGGCTTGAGCTTGTAGTTGGATTTAAGGAGTGATTTTTGTTAGCGAAATTTATCTCTTCTTGAGGTGATCTCTTAATTCGAGAATTTTATTGCTAGCTGTACCAGCTTTGTAATTTGAAGCATCTGGATACATTGAAATTTTAGCATTAGAGTTTAGAGCAAGTGGAGGCTTTCCAATCGGATTCCTTGCTTTTCGTAACCTTCTTCCTCCTAGCCCTTTCCTATTATTCCTTGCAGAAATTGCAGAGGAAATATCAGGCAATCCGGTCTGAGCAGATCAATCTGGAGTAATCGTCGCCTCCCTATTCGTTATTATTTTACTTTTTGGTCCAAACTTTGTCTAGATATGTCAGAAAATTCAAAAATTTAAAGCAAATATCTGGCTTAGTAGTCCTCTTACCTTATGGGATTTCTTATCAATTATATGCATTTCTCCCGATTTACCATTATTAATACTTTTGTTATTCAGGTCATTGCTCATAGCCAGGACTTCAAGACTGGACTCTAAGCTGTGATTCATACTGCTCTCTCCCTCAAATTTAGACGAGTTTACTATTTTAACCTGGTTTTTAGAGATTTTATCGCTATTTTGGCTTATTCGCTTGTTTTTGAAATGACTTCTCCTGGTGAAGCCCATTTGCAACCTTCTTTAATTTATTGGCATTTGGTCTAGATTGAGTGAGCCAAAATAAAACAAGAGACCAGCATCGAAACATATTATGCTTGCCATGGGCTTTGTGAAACCATTTATTATAAGCATACCTTTTAATTTTGGTCAGTTTTGAGCCATAAACCGACCTAAAGTTGTTCTTTGATTTTCTGTTCAAGCTGGATTTTGATTTTGTATGGAGATTATTAAGTGCATTTTCTGGTCTCTATACCACAATAAGCTGCTTTACCTCAAACAGTCCAATTAATTGCTTTACAGCCGAAATAGAGAGCATTAAATTTGAATGTGCACATACCGCTATGTTATCCATTTTGCGTCAGGGAAAGAAGAAAATATTTAAAATATAAAGTTTAAAATATTTAAGTGAATTGGGGTTTTGGGGTTTTGGGGTTTTGGGGTTTTGGGG